GAGAATTGAGAATATGAATAATTTCCAAGAAAAACGAAAAAGAAGAAAAAGGGGAAGATGAAAAGGAAAAGAAGGAGGAGGAGGAGGAGGAGGAGGAGGGAGGAGGAGAGAAAGAGGAGACGAAGAAGAAGAAAGGCAGAAAAAAATATCCAACATTCCCTTCCCCCCCACCCCCCCCAAAAAAAAAAAATCTTCTCTGTTTCTAGGTGACAATAAGAGAAGATAAAGGGAAAAAATATAAAAAATGAAAACAAAAAAAAATGCCCTCCCTCTCCCCTCCCTTCCTAAAAATGCATCACCTAATTCCACCACAACTGAACAAACCCACGAGACACTATAGTAAAGAAAAAAAAAAAGTGCACGTAATCTGTCAGCGAAACTCGTAAAGAAGAGAAAGGCCATCTAAAATATTCATAAAAGTCATCAAGCAAAAATTCCTCGTCTTTAAAATGGAGAAGGTTAATTTTTATTCCCTCGCCCTCCCTCCCTTCTTCTTCCTCCTCCTCCTCCTCCTGTCTTCCTCTCCTCCTCCTCCTCCTCCTCCTCCTCCTCCTGTCTTCCTCTACTCCTCCCCTTCCCCCTACCACCTCCAAAGAGGTTAATTGCCAACATGTCGACGTAGCAAGGATAAAGAAATCTTAAAGGATTTCTTCCCCTCGAGAGACTGCCCCTGTTACTCCCAACCCTTCGCTGAGCGCCTCCAGCCGCCCCTCGCGTTTCTCTGTTACAGTATACATATATACGTGTGTGAGTGTGTATATGTATGTATTTATATATAAATATATATAAATATATATATATATATATATATATATATATATATATAGAGAGAGAGAGAGAGAGAGAGAGAGAGAGAGAGAGAGAGAGAGAGAGAGAGAGAGTATGTGTGTGTGTATGTATATGCATATATATATATATATATATATATATATATATATATATATATATATATATATATATATGTGTGTGTGTGATTATATAATATACAGATAGAGAGATAGATAGATATACACATATTTTATTTTGAAGTCATATCAATATAGCAAAATTTATTGTTGTAAATAATAAAGTAAATTATAGTAATTATCTGTAAATGGTTGAAGTGTTCACATTTAATGATAGTGATAAAATAATATATAATGATACTATTATATGTATTTAATATATATATATATATATATATATATATATATATATATATATATATATATATATTATTTTGAAACCATATCAATATAGAAAAATGCAGTGTTGTAAATAATAGAGTAAATTATAGCAATTACCTGTAAATGGTTGAAGGGGAAGACTGATATTCACATCCGTTTTTCAGACGGGTATCTGCTCTCCTCTCTCACGCAGTTATGTTGAGTGTCGGATATTAAAATCATGTTTTGCTGGGAAATTGAGGATTGTATTGTTTGATAAGTGAATTAATGTAAATGTTAAATCCATATAAACTGAATTGTGACACCTAAGACGAGTTTCTGCTCTCCTCTCACACACAGAGACAGAAAATGGTTGAGGAAAATAAGGCAACGCCAACATGCCATGTTTATCGCTAGCTGCTGTTGTTAAGAAATATTCATTTAAAGAATTGAAGGACTGATTACTTAAATCAACCAAATCAGAATATAAGAAAATACCGGGCAGTGTTTTGGTCCAGTCTCACTTTTATTTTGATTATATTTATCGATTATTATTTATGATTATTAAGTATGGTTAAAGTTAACCGTAGACTTGAAAACAAGAAATAAATCCCACCTTTTTCTGCTAAGTTCTATAACTAATTTTAAATCCATTGTAATATTTCACTTGTTTACTAGTATTAGCTTAGAGAATATAAGATATTTGTTAAGACTGATCATTAGGGCATGATACTCAAATTAAAATTAGATTCATTATTTGTAGTAGAATTGATCTTGACAGAATGGCAGCCGGGGAAAATGAACAAAAAAATGGGGGAAATGCAGTACTCATTTTTTATATATTTGTGAAATATCTCTGTCCATAGATGGCTCTGCTAGTCCTGATTTCACCTTTCCTTGAATTTGCGGGAAAAAACGTATTCTTACTAGTGCTATAAATATAGATGGTGTTATTTTTAACAGCAAATTAAGATAACGTTAAATATTTTCGTAAATCGATGAAAAGGGTGAACGGGCGAGGCAGGCAGTACTCGTAATTGGCTCATTGGATACTTAGTACAAGTGTAGCCATCTATGTGTAAAAACAATCGAACAAGTCGACTCACAGTGGGCATGGCATGTACGTACATGTGTGTGTATGTGTGTGTGCGTGTGCGTGTGTGTCGGTGCGTGTATATGCGTGTGCGTGCGTGCGTGTTTGCATGTATGAACGAGCAAAATGGGGTGACAGTTATAAATGAATGCAGCTGACAAGCTAATTACTGTAATTTCTGAAATCTGAAAAACATTCTCCTTCGTTGACTGTGAAAGATGGTGGAGGAAATGTAGTCTTAAGTTTAAAGAATGTCAAGTTGTAAATGACAAATCTGGATGACGGGCGTGCAGAGGCTGTGACTATGGCTGATGATGATGCTCCTTTATAGTGCGAAAATATATAACTGGCAACTCACCCCCGGATACTGGATGATTGCGATTCACATTTTTTAAAAAATTCTGATCAGCTGACACTTAATATTTGCGCTTACATATATTTGGTATTTTTAAAAAGAAATATATTCAATAATTCTATTGTCTTTAAACAACTTCATTATTTTTTTCTTACCAGAGACTAGTGTGAGTTCCCAGCTCTATCTTTTCAGATTGAATTATATTTCATTATGCTTCTTCCCTCATCCTTTCTCTTTTGCAACACAGCATTTTCACCCTTGCAGCATCTTTACCCAATACTCATTTCTTCCAGGAGAGAAACATTTAAATCTCAATTAGATTTCGTCCAAAAGAACACAGGCCACACCCACGAGGCGTTCAAACTTTTAAAAAGGGGTTAAAGGGGAGGGGGGGAGGGGGGAGGGGGTAAGAAGGAGAGGAAGGAGAGGGGAATTAAAGAAGGGGAAAGTTTGTCCCTTTTCTAAGAATCGAAAGCCAATATAAAATATCTTTGTAGTGTATTTCATTGGAAGAATTACTAACCTCACCGTATTTGTTTGTCATTTTCTTTACATATACTTATCGATGCTAATAGTATTATTGATATCATAATCAGTATCATTATTATCATCATTTATTCTATAGTGATTATTAATGTTTTTTTCACAGCCATGATTTTATTATCATTATTGTTATTGATGCAATTGATATCAGGAATTGACATTAATGTTGCTATTAATCATGTTCCTCTTTATATCCACAGTATTTCATATTTAGTTTCATAATGTTATTGTCATTTGTATATGTTATTGTTTGTTTAAGGAATCTTACAAGAAAATGCCGAGGATTAAGGAACATCCGCATTTGTTTCTGTGATTAGTGTCATCCTACTGGAAAGGCGACGGAAAGAAAGAGAGAGAGAGAGAGTGCAAGAGAGGGGGGAGAGGAGAGGAGAGAGAGAGATAGGGGGAGAAAGGGAGAGAGACAGAGAGAGAAAGAGAGAGAGAGAGACAGACAGAGAGACAGAGAGAGAGAGGAGAAGAGGCAAGGAGAGAGAGAGATAGAGAAAGAGAGAACGATAGGGAGAGAGAGAGAAAAAAAAGTGCAAGAGAGAGAGAGGGTGAGGAGAGGGGAGTGAAAAAAGAGGGGGGGGGGGGAGAGGAGAGAGAGAGAGAGAGAGAGAGAGAGAAAGAGAGGGAGGAGAAAGGAGAGAGAGAGGAAGAGGAGGAGAGTAGAGATGAGAAAGATAGAGAGAGAGGAAGAGCAAGAGTGTGAGAGATAGGAAGACAAAGAAAAAGATACACATACTATGTGAAGGAACGAGACAAACGAGGAAAAGAAAGAAAAAACAAACAAACAAAAAGGAAGAAAGATTGCGAGAGAGAGAAAGAAAACACACAAAAAAAACAGAATAGTGGCTTGGCAAACCCGCATGATGGATTTTCTCGGTCGCATTTTTTTTTTTTTTTTTTTTTTTTTTTAAGTGTAATGTATTTTTCACGTTTGTTTTATGCGTTGCCTGTGTGTCTCTCGGGGCCAAGGGACTCGCAAGTATATGATGGCTTCAAGGCGGGAGGATTTTTCATCTGTGTATTCAATTGTTTTTCTCCTGGAGATCTGCCTTCTTCCGTCTGCCACGCTCTTTGGAGTTTAGATGAATAACTTTTCTCGAGTTTCTGCCTTTCTCTCTTTTCAAAGCGCCTTGTGTGTGTGTGTGTGTGTGTGTGTGTGTGTGTGTGTGTGTGTGTGTGTGTGTGTGTGTGTGTGTGTGTGTGTGTGTGTGTGTGTGTGTGTGTGTATGTGTGTATGTGTGTGTGTGTGTGTGTATATATATATATATATATATGTATGTAATATATATATATATATATATATATATATATATATATATATATATATATATATATATATATATATATGTATGTAATGTATATATATACATATATATATATATATATATATATATATATATATATATATATATATATATATATATATATATACATATATATATATATATATATATATATATATATATATATATATATATATATATATATATATATATATATGTATATACACACACAAATGTATATGTATATATATATACATACATATATATGTATATATATATATATATATATATATATATATATATATATATATATATATATATATATATATATACATACGCGCACACACACACACACACACACACACATACCCACAGACACACACACACACACACAGAAAAGAGTGAGAAAGAGGGGAGGAGGCCACGAGAGAGGCAGAGACACCGACAGAGATACATGTCATGCCTCCGTATATTGCCAATTTGAGGTTTGCCTATAGGATTTCTCGAGCCATTTCCCCCCTGATGACAGACAACCAAGGGGTACTCAGCCGCTATTTCTTCTTTTATTCCAGACAACGGTGACCATGGGTCGTCAGAGGCTACAGACTTTGCTGACTCGAGCTCTACTGTGTTCTGCACTTCTCTCTTTGCCAGGTGAGTCTCCTTACTTTCTGACTCACTGAGGTGGAGCCAACGGTGAGTCAGGTGAATAGATAGTTATTTGGTTATTCTTACCTAGGTGAATGTAATTATCCAGGTGAGTTAGATATATAGGCAGGTAGATGGATAAATTTGTGAATATCATTCTCAAGTGAGTTAGAGAGATAGATAGGTTATGATAAGTCTATTACTATCTATCTGACTCTCCCATGACTCACAATAGTATTAGCTTTACGTAAGGAAACCTTTGAGATCAATTTACACAGAAATATAACCAATCATTTGACCCTAAATTCTATAGAGGGACCTGATATTACCAGTTAGGGTTGGATGAAAATGAATCGTCTCACAATGCAAGGAATATAACACGTTCATCAGAATTACATATCCAATCATAAACATCACATATATACACATCTTTCGAAAGCTAAAGAGTCACCTAATACCCAGTAAGTCATTCACCTAAATCAGTCACCCAGGTCAGTTTACCCTCTTGGAGAAAGTGTTGGATCAGTGACGGAATGGAGGACACTTCTTGAATACCTTCGCTTAGAGAACGCTCGGTGGGAGCTAATGGGTATTAATTCGCTCGTCACTCTGGCATCGCCTCCTTATTCTTTCTCGTTTTTATTTTTTAGTTCGATTATTTTGATGTTATTCGCTTTATTTATGTATATTTTTGTTTAATTCTTAATTTTTGTTACTCTTTTTTCGAGTGTATTTCTTAAATTCCCTAGATGTTCTTTTATGCAATTTGCTTTTTTCAGTTGTTTTTTTTTTTAGTTGTCGACTTTCTACTTTTGATATTCCACTCTTAACCATCTTTTCCTTTTTATTCCTCACTCATTCATTCCCCCCCCCCCATCCCCTCTAATCTCTTCCTTACCTAGATAGATAGATAGATAGATAGAGAGAGAGAGAGAGAGAGAGAGAGAGAGAGAGAGAGAGAGAGAGAGAGAGAGAGAGAAATAGATTGATAGATAGAGAGATAGATCTTTACCCCCCCCCCCACAACACTTTCTCCTTTAACCACTTTCCCCTTAATTATCTTAAACACAATTCCCTTCAACACACTCATTAATCTCTTTCTCCTTACGTACCTTCTCCTTAATCATCCTTTTCCTTAACCATCTTCTCCCTTTGACACATTTTCCTTAACCAACTTTACCTGAATCACCTTCCCCTTAACCATTTTCCCTTAATCACCTTCCCTTAACCACCTTCCCCTTAATCCCTTTCCCATAATCACCTTCCCCTTTAACTACCTTCCCCTTAAACTACCTTCCCTTAACCATCTTCCCCTAACCACTTTCCCCTTAACCACTTTCCCTTAACCACCTTCCCTTAACCACTTTCCCCTTAATCACTTTCCCTTAACCATCTTCCCTTAACTACCTTCCCCTTAACCACCTTCCCCTTAATCACTTTCCCTTAACCATCTTCCCTTAACTACCTTCCCCTTAACCACCTTCCCCTTAACCACCTTCCCTTAACCACCTTCCCCTTAACTACCTTCCCTTAACCATCTTCCCCTAACCACTTTCCCTTAACCCACCTTCCCTTATCCACTTTCCCCTTAATCACTTTCCCCTTAACCACCTTCCCCTTAACCACCTTCCCTTAACCACCTTCCCTTAACCACCTTCCCCTTAATCCCTTTCCCATAATCACCTTCCCCTTTAACTACCTTCCCCTTAACTACCTTCCCTTAACCATCTTCCCCTAACCACTTTCCCCTTAACCACTTTCCCTTAACCACCTTCCCTTAACCACTTTCCCCTTAATCACTTTCCCTTAACCATCTTCCCTTAACTACCTTCCCCTTAACCACCTTCCCCTTAACCACCTTCCCTTAACCACCTTCCCCTTAACTACCTTCCCTTAACCATCTTCCCCTAACCACTTTCCCTTAACCACCTTCCCTTATCCACTTTCCCCTTAATCACTTTCCCCTTAACCACCTTCCCCTTAATCACTTTCCCTTAACCACCTTCCCTTAACCACCTTCCCCTTAACCACTTTCCCTTAACCACCTTCCCTTAACCACCTTCCCCTAACTATCATCCCTTAACCACCTTCCCCTTAACCACCTTCCTTTGACCACCTTCCCCTTAACCACCTTCCTTTAACCACCTTCCCTTAACCACCTTCCCTTAACCACCTTCCCCTTAATCCCTTTCCCTTAACCACCTTCCCCTTAACCACTTTCCCTTAACCACCTTCCCCTAACTACCTTCCCCTTAACTACCTTCCCCTAACCACTTTCCCCTTAATCACTTTCCCCTTAACCACTTTCCCCTCACCTTCTTTACCATTTCCCACACTCCGTATCTCTCCTCATTCTTTCCCTTTCCCCTTCCTTCCACTCGCTGCTTCCCCTCTTATCAACTTCTTTTTTTCTCTCTCCACATTTGGTTCCTTTTATTTATTATTATTATTTTCCTTCGCACTTTTTCGCAACGAGTCAAACCCTTGGCGAAACTCAAGGAAAAGA